ACTGCACGATATCTGTTGCACAATTAACTATTAATTGAATTTACCCTGTTACTGATTGATATCTGATTGCGTAATTGTTTGATGTTTCAGAATGCAAAGAGAGGCGGAAATGGGTCTTCCAAAAATATGATAGGAAGCAGAGGAGCAGACAAGGTTAATTCTTGTCTCTCTTGAGTCTTTGTTATATGTAAGTCATTTGTCTTAATCAAATCTAAACTAAGGACATCTCGCATGTGTGGCAGGTGATCCAAGTTCCTGTGGGTACCGTCATTCATCTAGTAGAGGGTGAACTTCCATCTGCAGTAGAGAAGAGTTCAAGTTCTAAGTTGGACCCTTGGGAGATTCCAGGTACAGTTGATATTGATTCATCAGAGTTTTCTACACAATCAATTTCGGCCGAGCAAACCAGTTCAAAAGTTGAGAAGAAAATCAAATCGAGTGGATGTCGAGCTTCTCGTGCTGAAGAATACTCTACACCGAGGACTCAAAATTTTGGTTTGCCCACCAATTCCCGCACTACGTGCTCAATTGCTAGCGACAAATTCGAAAGTGATGATGATGATTTGAGTGACTGGGAGGAAGAAAGCTGTGACGAAATGGAAGATCAAGATGGTGATGATATTATGGGAACAACATGTGAAGATGAGTCGGAAGAAACTGAACTTATAGAATATAATGTTGCAGAGTTAACAGAACAAGGCCAACGAATAGTTGTTGCTCGTGGAGGGGAGGGTGGCTTAGGCAATCTGTCTATGAGGAAAGCATCAAAGATTACGCAGAAGGGAGCCAATTCTGATGATGAAGTATCTGATGATTATGATCATGCATCACCAAGTGTTGGCTTGCCTGGCTCAGAGGTGGTACTTGTGCTAGAACTAAAGAGCATTGCTGATGTGGGTCTTATTGGGATGCCAAACGCCGGCAAAAGCACCCTTCTTGGGGCGTTGTCGAAGGCTAAACCAGTTGTCGGTGATTATGCATTCACAACATTGAGGCCTAACTTAGGTAACGTAAATTACTACGATTTTTCTTTAACTGTAGCTGACATCCCAGGACTCATAAGAGGAGCCCATGAGAATCGTGGTCTTGGGCATGCTTTCCTTCGGCACATAGAACGTACAAAAGTTCTAGCCTATGTGGTGGACTTGGCTGCAGCACTGGGTGATAACAAGGGAATACCACCATGGGAACAGCTAAATGACTTGATTTTGGAACTCGAGTACTATTCTGAGGGTTTATCTGATCGACCATCCTTAGTGGTGGCTAACAAAGTTGACGAAGACGGGGCTGAAGAGGTATATAAAGAACTCAAACGCCGTGTATCTGGTGTGCCCGTTTTCCCAGTTAGTGCAATCTTAGAGGAAGGAGTACCAGAACTGAAAGATGGTTTGAGGATGCTTATCAGCGGTGAACAAACACACAGGCTACAATTAGATGGTATAGTTCTTCACCAAGATGCTGCTCATGTGAGTATCTAGTCTTGTATCTTTTCCCTTGCAGTGAAATATTATTTTGACTCAGGCATAAAGTTGCGTAGTTTTGTTTAGCACATTAATTTTTTTCTTTATTTTTTTCTTTATTTAAAAAAAAATTGATTTCAATTTTTTTTTTTAAAAAAAAATCATTGACAACGGATTTAATTAGTTTTTTTAAAAAAAAAAATCAAATCGCTTTTAAAGGCAGCGTATTTT